ACTTTTCTGATTTGTGATTCAGAATAAAAAATTCTGAGTGCTGCCTCCTGGGACTCACTGTGAATGGATGCCTAAGATAGAGAAATGCTTTGGGACAGCCCTCCTTACATGTACTTCTGCTCTGTCCTTTCCCCTGCTCATATGTTTTAGAAGTGCAGTGATAAGGCCTGGGTTTAGTGCTCATTTTCCATTATCTTTCCCAAATTTTAATTGGACAAAATCTAAATTGCTTCTCTGTATCCAGTTTACCTTTTATATTTCCAAGCCCTCTTTAAGCTTTAGCTACTGAAAATGCCATTGAAAACAGTTTAAATAAATATACAGGGAAAATATTAAATTTTAAGTATTGTTGAAAGAATGTGCTGTAAAGTATACTGAACTCCTCTTTTGTAAAGTTCTGATACAAGTGGCTTTACATCTTTATACATTTAAAGTACATATAAGAAATTTAGTATGTATCACTTGTGGTAATTGTTTCTAACTTGGTTGGAGGGTGGGAGGGTTTAAATTTGGGAAAGGGAAGGAACTATGAAGGAATCTCTTATGAGACTGTCATTTATTCCATCAATTCATTGTCTTTGTATATTCTGTTTAATCAACTGAGAATCAATTCAGCATGTCATTATTTAGGCTGCATTTCTCTATTCTTGGCCACAAGAGTGTTTTAAGAGACTTCATACCATGCTGGCATCTAAATATGCTGTCTAAAGCATTGTCATAATCTTCCATTCTCATAACCCTGTCAAAAAGGAAATAAAGTGTTTGGCATAACTTATTCTTAGTGAAATCCTGCTGTTTTCTACTGATTGCCTCTTTTTATTGCCTCTAGGTTCTCACAAACCACTTACCTTTTCTCCTAATCTTGCCCATTCCAAGACATCACTTCTTTCCCTGAAGTTGGATGTTGCCTGTTCGGTGGATAAGGCAAATCTCTAACTAAGAAGTCATTGTATGGACTCTTTTGTGGGAAAATTGTTTGCGTGGATCCACCAAGCAAATGTCTGCAGAGTCCATTTTGAAAGAAACTGACTTAAGAAACTGATTTTCTGGACACGTTGTATCAATTATTACTGTAAAAGAGAAGTCACTGAACTGGTAAAACATATCTTTTTTAGATTTTCCAAAAAAATTGAACATGTAATTAAGAATTGTTTTCAAGCTCAGTTCCCTGGGGCAGGGATAGAGGATGTGGGCATATGAAGATCTCAGATAAGAAACAGTGGTTGAGGCCAGGCACAGTGGCCCACGCCTGTAATCCCAGCACTTTGTGAGGCCAAGGCGGGTGGATCACCTGAGTTCAGGAGTTCAAGACCAGCCTGGCCAACGGTGAAACTGTCTCTACTAAAATACAAAAATTAGCCGAGCATGGTGGGCACTTGTAATCCCAGCTACTTGAGAGGCTGAGGCAGGAGAATCACTTGAACCTGGGAGGTGTAGGTTGCAGTGAGCCAAGATGGCATCATTGCACTCCAACCTGGGCAACAAGAGTGAGAACTTTGCTGTTAAATGGTGGTCTCTGTAGCAGCAACATCAGGTGCTTCATAGAAATACAGACTCTCAGACCCTAATCCAGCCCTGTTTAATGAGAATCTGCATTTTGACACCATCTCCAGGTGGTTCATATAAAAGTTAGGGTTGAGAAGCCCTGGAAATCAATTTCATGAGACCGTCCTGCAAGTGAACTGGTAGAGAGATAAAGACTCATCTTGTGAAGTACCTGCAGATACTAAATAGCAAAATTAGGAAAATCCTTTTAGAGTGAAAGGAATTCAGGTAATTATTGAATACTGTCGACTCAATACAATTGTTTAGTATTGACCTTCCCACACTATACCTTGTGAGATTTAAGATATATCCAAGTACTATGACTGTTATTTTCAAAAAATGATTTTTGTAGTCATTTTACTAGTCCTAGGCCAGAGTGCTCAAAATCTTTCCTTCCTTTTACTGCTTTTTGTATTCTTTGTAAAGGTGGCTAAATTGTTATGCTTTAGCATGAAGGAAAAACTCCAAGAAGAAAGGCTCAGCTGGGGCTGTGCCTCTGTTGTTTTCATTTTAACTTTGTTGGAGCTCCTTAAGCACAGTAGGGCCTCTTTTGTTCCATGGCACTGTAGGCTTGTCACATAACCCTGGGAGTAGTAATCAATTGGACCCCAGATGTTGTTATTGCATATTAGACCAGTGTTACCTTCAATAATGTTGATGGCAGCTTGATGATATATGAGGGTTTCCTAGCTTTCTAGATGTCTTACTTATATTGGGGGTGATGAAGGCATTGAACCTCCTCCCTTCATCCAAGACATTCCTACATGTTTCTGAGGGGTGGACACGTCCGGTAGGACTCTGATGGGCTGGTGTATGTGCTATTGAAGAAAATACTTTAAGCCAATGTCAGATTGCAGGTGCATCTTACTGGCTTACTCAGGTGGGAGAGTCTAGTGGGAACTGTGGGTGTTATGAGCTGCAGAGGGAATCAGTATGGTGTAGTGAAAAGAGCATTGCATTTGGAATTAGATAAATGTCGTCTGAATCCCAGCTCTTCTGCTTGTTAGTTCTGCAATCTAGTAACAGTTATTTAGTCTCTGATTTTTGAGTTCCATAATTGTAAAAATAGGACTAATTCCTATCTCTCCAGGTTGTTGTGAGTCTCTAATGAGATGATGTATTAAGAGCCTAATATAGTACCTGGCATAGAGTAGGTGCCCATTGAATGTTAAGTTCACATTACTAATCCATTTGGTATATTAAACAATTCCTTACAGTTTTATTTATGTCTGCCCTAGCTAAACTAAGTAAGGATTTAGGTAGCTTCTGATAGTTTTGCCCATCAAATGTATTTCCAAATGATTCTTTGTCAGGTAAGTGTCATCTTCTGTTATTGCCACTGCAGCAGACACAGGCCTTCAAAGGCACAATGCTGTCAGCCTGGCAGATTCATCAGATGGATCAGAACCAGCAGGGATTACATGTCCAGAAAGTTGAGATTATTTCATTTTACACATGGGATATGCCAGCATGTCAGTTAGAATCAAGGAAAAGGGACTATGTGTTTTAAACAATAGCGAGCGGTAAAAAGAGCTTTGGTGAATTAATCATGTTCAAATGGTTGCAGTACATGGAATTGTTTTCTGTGAAGAAGGCTATGAAATGCAGCATTTTATTTCAAAAACTATGCTCATGCCTATATAATATCCTGGAAAGGATATTTTCTTTTATAATTATAAAGGGTGTAGATTTTGATGTAAAGCTTTCCAAATTCGCAACTCTGCTTATGTCAGGAAACCAGGAGGTGTGGCACTTATTAAGTGCCTAAAAAGTGCCTCACAACTCTGCTTATGTCAGGAAACCAGGAGGTCTGGCACTTATTAAGTGCCTAAAAATCCTAACTTATTAAGGTTCTACCTGTGAATATTTGACTGTAGGCTTCTTCCATTACCTTTCTCTTTCTCTGACTCTGAACCCATAGCCCATCTGAGTTTGGAGGCTCTAATTTTAGATATCAATATAGTGTGTTGGTTATTTTTTAACTTTTTTTTTTTTTGAGACGGAGTTTCGCTCGTTACCCTGGCTGGAGTGCAATGGCGCAATCTCGGCTCACTGCAACCTCCGCCTCCTGGGTTCAGGCAATTCTCCTGCCTCAGCCTCCCAAGTAGCTGGGATTACAGGCTACTCGTGCACGTGCCACCACGCCCAGCTAATTTTTTGTATTATTAGTAGAGACGGGGTTTCACCATGTTGACCAGGATGGTCTCGATCTCTTGAGCTTGTGATCCACCCGCCTCAGCCTCCCAAAGTGCTGGGATTACAGGCTTGAGCCACTGCGCCTGGCCCTATTTTTTAACTTTTAAAGTGGTTAAGTGGTTGCTGTTTAGAAAATGTTAGAAAAATAACTTTAATCAGATTTAAGAAAACTACTGGATGAATATTTTTGGTTTTGACTAAATTACAGGTATTCATCTTTTAAATGGGGATTATAATGATACCTATTCCATAGGATTAGTATTTACCTCATAGAATAAATGAAGTATTAATAATATATGTGAAGTGCTTAGTAGATAGTACGTGGCATGCCATAGCACATTTTATAATACTGTTAAGTATTATTAATTTTTTGCTATTGGTTTCTCTCTGCTTACAAAACAGGAATTTTCACAGTAGAAAATGTAAAATAAAGAAAATAAAAATTACATAAATGCTCCACCTAATAACAGAAACTGGCATCTTAGTACATCTTCCCAGTTTTCTGTTTCCCTGTATACATATATTTTACATAAGAAAATCAAAATTATAGTAGTTTTAACCTTGGATTTTTCACTTATTATATTAGCAATATTTTCCCATGAAATATTATCACAATTTTAATGCCATTTTATTTTATTTAGGTCCTCAAACTTGTTTCCTCTATTGTTAGATATTTGTGTTGTTTTCAGTCTTTCATTAGTTGTTAGTAACTCTCCAGTGAATTTTTTTTCCCCTTGAACTGAGTTCTTGGAAGAGAAATTGCTGGATTAAAAGCTGAATACACTTTTGTGCACATTGCAAAACTGCCTTTTGGGGAAGTTCTATAAATTTATATTCATACATGGAATATATGAAATTTGGTGCCTACTCCTTCTGACACTGGGACATTATAATTTTTAAAAAGTCTCAATTTGATAGGTAAAAAGATATTTTTATGGAAAATTTAAATATTTTCTACTGGTATTGAACTTTTTATGTTCAGAAACTATATTATTCCGCATGAGATTGCTTATCTGTGTCCTTTGAACATTTTGTGGGAGTTATTTATAGAAATCTCTTTAATTTTTAAGGCTATCAACTCTTTTTTAAAAAATAGATATTTTATTGCACTTTGGGTTCTGGAGTATACATGCAAAATATGCAGGATTGTTGCATAGGTACATACATGGCAATGTGGTTTGCTGCCCCCATTCTCCTGTCACCTATATCAGGATTTCTCCCCATGTTATCCCTCCCCAACCTCCTTACCCCCCACTATCCCTCCCCAGTCCCCCCCCAACAGATCACAGTGTGTGATGCTCCCTTCCCTATGTCCGTGTGTTCTCATTGTTCAACACCTGCCTGTGAGTGAGAACATGTGTTGTTTTTCTGTTCTTATGTCAGTTTGCTAAGAATGATGGTTTCCAGATTCATCCATGTCCCTACAAGGAACATGACCTCATCATTTTTTATGGCTGCATAGTATTCCAGAGTGTATATGTGCTACATTTCCCTTGTCCAGTCTAACATTGATGGGCATTTGAGTTGGTTCCAGGTCTTTGCTATTGTAAACACTGCAGCAATGAACATGTGCACGTATCTTTATAGTAGAATGATTTATAATCCTTTGGATATATACCCAGTAATGGGATTGCTGGGTCAAATGCAATTTTTATTTCTAGGTCCTTGAGGAAGCCCCACATTGTCTTCCACAATGGTTGAACTAACTTATATTCCCATCAGCAGTGTAAAGTGTTCCTATTTCTCCTCATCCTCTCCAGCATCTGTCGTCTCCAGATTTTTTAATAATCACCATTCTGACTGGCGTGAGGTGGTATCTCAATGTAGTTTTGATTTGCAATTCTCTAATGACCAGTGATGATGAGCATTTTTTCATATGTTTCTTGGCCTCATAAATGTCTTCTATTGAAAAATGTCTGTTCATGTCCTTTGCCCACTTTTGAATGGGTTTGTTTTTTTTCTTGTAAATCTGTTTTAGTTCTTTGTAGATTCTGGATATTAGCCCTTTGTCAGATAGGTATATTGCAAAAATGTTTTCCCATTGTGTTGGTTGCCAGTTCACTCTAATGACTGTTTCTTTTGCTGTACAGAAGCTCTGGAGTTTAATTAGATCCCATTTGTCTATTTTGGCTTTTGTTGCCAATGCTTTTGGTGTTTTGGTCATGAAGTCCTTGCCTATGCCTATGTCCTGAATGGTTTTGCCTAGGTTTTCTTCTAGGGTTTTTATGGTGTTAGGCCTTATGTTTAAGTCTTTAATCCATCTGGAGTTAATTTTAGTGTAAAATATGCCCTTTCTGTAAAGCAGAAAGGGGTCCAGTTTCTGCTTTCTGCACACTGCTAGCTAGTTTTCCCAAGACCATTTATTAAACAGGGAATCCTTTTCCCACTGCTTGTTTTTGCCAAAGATCAGATGGTTGTAGATGTGGGACATTGCCTCCAAGGCCTCTGTTCTGTTCCATTGGTCTATATCTTCTGTTTTGGTACCAGTATCATGCTGTTCTGATTACTGTAGCCTTGTAGTATAGTTTGAAGTCAGGTAGCATGATGCCTCCAGCTTTTTTCTTTTTTCTTAGAATTGTATTGGCTATGCAGGCTCTCTTTTGGTTCCATATGAAGTTTAAGGTGTTTTTTTCCAGTTCTGTGAAGAGGGTCATAGGTGACTTGATGGGGATAGTGTTGAATCTATAAATTACATTGGGCAGTATGGCCATTTTCATGATATTGATTCTTCCTAACCATGAGCACGGAATATTTTTCCATCTGTTTGTATCCTCTCTTATTTCACTGAGCAGTGGTTTGTGTTTCTCCTTGAGGAGGTCCTTTACATCGTTTGTTAGTTATATTCCTAGGTATTTTTATTCTCTTTGTAGCAATTGTGAATGGCAGTTCGTTCTTGATTTGACTCTCTTTAAGTCTGTTATTGGTGTATAGGAATGCTTGTGATTTCTGCACATTGATTTTGTATTCTGAGACTTTTCTGAAGTTGCTTTTCAGTTTGAGGAGATTTGGGCTTAGATGATGGAATCTTCTAAATATACAATCATGTTGTCTGCAAATAGAGACAATTTGATTTCCTCCTTTCCTAATTGAATACCCTTTATTTCTTTTTCTTGCCTGATTGCTCTGGCTAGAACTTCCAATACTATATTAAATAGGAGTGGTGAGAGACGGCATCCTTGTCTAGTGCCAGATTTCAAAGGGAATGCTTCTAGTTTTTGCCCATTCAGTATGATATTATATTGGCTGTGGGTTTGTCATAAATAGCTTTTATTATTTTGAGATACGTTCCCTTCATACCTAGTTTATTGAGAGTTTTTAGTATAAAGGGCTGTTAAATTTTGTTGAAGGCCTTCTCTGCATCTATTGAGATAATCATGTGGTTTTGTCTTTGGTTCTGTTCATGTGGTGGATTACGTGTATAGAGTTGTGTATGTTGAACCAGACTTGAATCCCCAGGATGAAGCCTACTTGATTTTGATGGATAAGCTTTTTGATGTGCTGTTGGAATCAGTTTGCCAGTATTATTGAAGATTTTTGCACCTAGGTTCATCATGGATATTGACCTGAAGTTTTCTTTTTATCATTGAGTTTCTATCGGGTTTTGGTATTGGGATGATGTTGGTCTCATAAAATGATTTGGGAAGGATTCCCTCTTTATGGATTGTTTGGAATAGTTTCAGAAGGAGTGGTACCAGCTCTTCTTTGTATGTCTGGTAGAATTCATCTGGACCTGGGCTTTTTTTGTTTGGTAGGCTATTAATTGCCGCCTCAACTTCAGTGCTTGGTACTGGTCTATTCAGGGTTTCGACTTCTTCCTGGTTCAGGCTTGGGAGGGTGCAAGTGTCCAGGAATTTATCTATGTCTTCCAGGTTTACTGGTTTATGTGCATAGAGTTGTTTGTAGTAATCTATGATGGTAGTTTGTATTTCTGTGAAATCGGTGGTGATATCCTCTTTATGGTTTTTTGTTGCGTCTATTTGATTGGTCTCTCTTTTCAGCTTTATTAATCTGGCTAGCAGTTTGTCTATTTTGTTGATCTTTTAAAAAAACCAGCTCCTGGATTTATTAATTTTTTGAAGGGTTTTTTTGTGTCTCTATCTCCTTCAGTTCTGCTCTGATCTTAGTTATTTCTTGTCTTTTGCTAGCTTTTGAGTTTGTTTGATCTTGCTCGTCTAGCTCTTTCAATTTTGATGATAGGGTGTCAATTTTAGATCTTTCCCTGCTTCTCATATGGACATTTATTGCTATAAATTTTCCTCTAGACACTGCTTTACATGTGTCCCAGTGATTCTGGTATGTTGTGTCTTTGTTCTTATTGGTTTCGAAGAACATCTTTATTTCTGCCTTCATTTCATTGTTTATCCAGTCAACATTCAAGACCCAAGTTGTTCAGTTTCCATGAAGTTGTGCAGTTTTGAATTAGTTTCTTAATCCTGAGTTCTAATTTGATTGCACTGTGGTCTGAGAGACTGTTTGTTATGAGTTCCATTCTTTTGCATTTGCTGAGGAGTGATTTATTTCCAATTATATCGTCAACTTTAGAGGAGGTGTCATGTGGTGCTGAGAAGAATGTGTATTTTGTGGATTTGGGGTGGAGAGTTCTGTAGATGTCTATTAGGTTTGCTTGGTCCAGATCTGAGTTCAAGTCCTGGATATCCTTGTTAATTTTCTGTCTCATTGATCTACCTAATATTGAAAGTGGAATGTTAAAGTCTCCCAGAATTATTGTGTGGGAGTCTAAGTCTCTTTGTAGGTCCTTAAGAACTTGCCTTATTTATCTGGGTGTTCCTGTATTGGATGCGTATATATTTAGGATTGTTAGCTCTTCTTGTTGTATTGATCATTTTACCACTATGTAATGCCCTTCTTTGTCTCTTTGATCTTTGTTGGTTTAAAGTCTATTTTATCAGAGACTAGGATTGCAACGCCTGCTTTTTTTTTGCTCTCCATTTGCTTAGTAAATCTTTCTCTATCCCTATATTTTGAGCCTATGTGTGTCCTTGCATTTGAGATGGATTTCCTGGATACAGCACACTGATGGTTTTTTACTTTTTATCCAATTTGCCTGTCTGTGTCTTTTGATTGGGGCATTTAGAACATTTACATTTAAGGTTAATATTGTTATGTGTGAATTTGATCCTGCCATTTTGATAATAGCTGGTTGTTTGGCCCATTAGTTGATGCAGTTTCTTCAGTGTCGATGCTTTTTACCATTTGGTATGTTTTTGGAGTTGCTGGTACTGGTTGTTCCTTTCCATGTTTAGTGCTTCTTTCAGGAGCTCTTGTAAGGCAGGCCTGGTGGTAATGAAATATCTGAACAATTGCTTGTTCATAAAGGATTTTATTTCTCCTTTGCTTGTGAAGCTTAGTTGGGCTGGATATGAAATTGTAGGTTGAAAGTTCTTTTCTTTAAGAATGTTGAATATTGGCCCCCACTCTCTGCTGGCTTGTAGGGTTTGTTCTGAGAGTCTGATGGGCTTCCCTTTGTGGGTAATCTGACCTTTCTCTCTGGCTGCCCTTAGCATTTTCTCCTTAATTTCAACCCTGGTGAATCTGATGATTATGTGCCTTGGGGTTGCTCTTCTTGAGGGATATCTTTGTAGTGTTTTCTGTATTTCCTGGACTTGAATATCGGCCTGCCTTGCTAGGTTGGGGAAGTTATCCTGGATAATATCCTGAGGAGTGTTTTCCAGCTTGGATTCATTCTCTCCATCACTTTCAGGCACACCTATCAAACAGATTAGGTCTTTTCACATAATCCTATGTTTCTTGGAGACTTTGTTCATTTCTTTTCACTTTTTCTCTAATCTTGCCTTCTCCTTTTATTTCATTGAGTTGATCTTCGACCTCTGATATCCTTTCTTCTGCTTGGTCGATTCAGCTATTGAAACTTGTGTATGGTTTGCAAAGTTCTCATGTTGTGTTTTTCTGCTCTATTAAGTCATTTATATTCTTTTCTAAGCTGTTTATTCTCGTTAGCATTTTGTCAAACCTGTTTTCAAGGTTCTTAGTTTCTATGCATTGGATTAGAACATATTCTTTTAGCTCAGAGAAGTTTGTTATTACCCACCTTCTGAAGCCTGTTTCTGTCAATTCATCAGACTCATTCTCCATCCAGCTTTGTTCCCTTGGAGGAGGAGAGACGTTCTGGTTTTGGGTGTTTTCATCCTTTTTGTGCTAGTTTCTTATCATTTTTGTGGACTTATCTACCTGTGGTCTTTGTATTTGTTGACTTTCAGTTGGGGTCTCTGAGTGGACATCCTTTTTGTTGATGATGAAGTTACTTCTTTCTGTTTCTTAGTTTTCCTTCTAACAGTCAGGCTACTCTGTTGTAGGACTGCTTGAGGTTCCCTCCAGACCCTGTTTGCCTGAGGATCTCCTTCGGTGGCTACAGAACAGTAAGGGTTGCTGCCAGTTTCCTCTTCTGTTATCTTTGCCCCAGAAGGATACCTGCCAGATGTCAGCCTCAGCTCTCCTTTATGAGGTGACTCTTTGGATATTCGGGGGTCAGGGAGCCGCTTGAGGAGACAGTCTGTCTTTTATAGGAGCTCAAGTGCTGAGCTGTGAGTGCTGTTGTTCTGTTCAGAGCTGCTGGGCAGGTAAGTTTATGTCTGCTGCAGTGGAACTCATAATCACCTTTTTTCCCAGATTCTCTGTCCTGGGAAGGTGGGACTTTGTTTATAAGTTCCTGACATGCTGCTAATTTTTTTCAGAGCTGCCCTGCCCAGCAAGGAGGTAGCCTAGTGACAGTCTGCCAGCAGAGGCATTGCTGAGCTGCCATGGGCTCTGCCCAGCTGCTATATGAACCTCCTTGCAGTTTTGTTTATATAGTTAGAACTGCCTTGGTAATGGCTGTCTGCCTCAGTAATGACAGATGCCCTTCCCCTATCAGAGCTGGACTGTCCTGGTCCAGCTGTGCTTTCTGCAAAACTCTCAATCCAGAGTGTTTCAGATTGCTGGTCTTTGTGGGGGTGTGACCTGCTGAGCCAGATCACCTGGCTCCCTGTTTCAGCCCCTTTTGTTTTCAGTTGAATGGGTGGCTCTGTCTCCCAGGCATTCCAGGTGCCAGTTGAAACAGCCATACAGATTTCTGTGAGTTTTTGTGTAGAGACGCACTGTGCTGGCTGAAACAGCCATGCTGGGAACTTGTGGCACTTTTCATCCCGGGAATCTCCTGGTCTGTGGGCAGTAATAATTCGTTTGGAAATGTGGTGTTCACTGACCCTCTGCATTGTTCTTGCTGGTAACTGCACTCCAGAGCTGTTCCTATTCGACCATCTTGGATCCGCCCCAAGGCTATCAACTCTTAATCAGGGATATTGCAAATATTTTTCCATAGTTTTCAATTCACCTTTAAGTTTGTTCACAATATTTTTGATTGAGATTTTTAGTTTTCAGTAGTCAAAGGTAACAGTTTCTTTTTGTTTGTTGTTTCTGCCTCTGTGTTATGCTTAGGATGTCTATCTTTATTCAAAGATTACACCTCATCTGCATTTTAATTCATGCCTTCATCCATGTACTTTAATCCCACAGATATTCCTTGAGTGTCTCTTATACATCAGGGCTAAGAGAATTGTCAGACATAAAGTAATAAACCTTGCACATTTGGAGCTTCAGTCTAGCAGAACATTGACCTTAATAAGTACATGATGCTAAGTGAAATATGCCAGGCACAGAAACATAAATACTGTATAATCTCATTTATAAGTGGAATCTAAAGAAAGTCAAGTCATAGAAACAAGGGTAGAAGGGTCAGGCATGGGAGAAAGCAGGAGATGTTGGCCAAAGGGTACACACTTCTAGTTATAAGATAAATGAATTCTGGAGACTTAATGAACAGTATGGTGTCTATAGTGAATAATAATATATTGTATATTTGAAATTTGCTAAGACAGTAGATCTTAAGTATTCTTGCCACAGAAAAGAAGGTAACTAGGTGAGGTGATGGACATGTTAATTGGCTGGATTTTGGTAATCATTTCATAGTGCTTACATATATCAAAACATCATGTTGTACTCTTTAAATATATAGAATTTTCTTTGTCAATTATACCTCAGTGAAGCTGCGAAAAGAAAAAAATAGGCCTTAATTTATTTTAAATTTGCACAAATAAAATTAAAACTGTGCTAAGTATTATGAAGGAGAGGTAAATAGTAAAATCAAAATGTCTACTGAGGGTAACTGAACTGCTTGGAGAGGTCTGGGAGGGGTTTCCAGTAGAAGTCATCTTGATGGAAGACTGTAGTTAAATTACATAAGGAGGTGGTGGAGAAAGGCATTGCAGGCCTGGCAGACACCATTGTGGCTGAAGCACAAAGATCAAGCACGATAAAGCAAGATATGCCAAGATATGGCTGGAAAGGAATTTTGAAGCTAGACCATGTGGGGACTTGTAAGTCTTGTTATGGATTTTGATATTTTGTTGTAAGAGCAATGGAAAACCACTAATGTCATTTAAGGAGGATGTTCAAAGTAGATGATACAATGCTGTCTTTTCTTTTTAAAAATACTTAACTCTTTAATACTTTTGGAATTCGTTTTTATGGGGCTTACAAATATTTTTTTTTCCAAGCAGTTAATCATAGTCACTGTACCTTGTGTTGAATAATTTTTTCTTTTCTCATTTTTCTGAAGTGTACTTTTATCATAAAGTAAAATTTTATATATCACTTGTATCTTTTATGTAGTAAGATGTTTTGATAGGACCCATGTGCTATGATCTAAATGTTTGTGTCTGTCTCCACCCTTGCCAAATTCATATGTTGAAACTTAACCTCCAGTGTGATGGTATTAGGAGGTGGTCTTTGGCAGGTGATTAGGTCATGACAGTGGAGCCCTCATGAATAGGATTAGCAACGTTACAAAACAGGCCCTGTACAACTGCCTTGTCCCTTCCACCACATAAGGACACTGCGAGAAGGAGCCCTGTGAATCAGAAAGATGCCCTCACCAGACACCAAATCTGCCTGCTTGATCTTGGACTTGATCTTGCACCTCCCAGCCTCCACAGTGGTGATAAATACATTTCTGTTGTTTATAATCTACCCAGTTTATGGTATTTGTGATAGCAGTCCAAACAGAAAAAAAAAAATCCTTGATTTTTCTTCCTTATTTAGTCTTACTTTGGGGGAAGTATGTTCATTTTTGTTGTAGGCCACATTTATCCTTATCCTTGGTGTCTCTATTTTGGGTGATCTTGAAGGGTTGACAGTCTTCCTTTGGCCTTTTAAATTGAAGGGCCAAGTGCTGTGCACAGTCTGGACCTAACTGTGCTTTATCTTGGCCTTTATTGGCTGTGGATCTGTTGTCCATTGCAGGGATTTTTTGGTCTCTTGTTCAGGTCCTTTTATGAGGGTGGGAATTGATTCTTTAATGTTGTGGAAACACAAGTATTTTCCAAGCCAACAATTCTGCACACTGCACAGCATACTGCTATTCATTCTTGTAGGCTAAACTTCTCTGATGATTGACTTAATATTTGTGATTGCATGCTGGAAAGTGAAGACCCATTGCATTCTGGAAAGTGAAGCTGATGGAAATTAAAGTGGAATTGGTACAAGAACAGACTTACTAAGATATAGGGGAAGTTCTCAGTGACTTTAGAATGCAGGTTGAGGGAGTAGTTTCCTCCCCGTTGTGTGCAAAGCCCAGTTTCTGGGAGGTGGGGCACATATTTTGGCTAGGTGGAGAAAATTATGCTATTTGATCATCTTCTTTATTCCTTGATTAAGATCTCAGGGCTTCAAATGAGTTTTAGTTAATAGATGTTTCTTCAGTTTCTTTGTAGGTTATTGAGCCATTTATCAAGATTCCAGGACTGTGAAAACATCAATAAGTTGATGAGCCAGTGAACATAAACCACGAGTTGTTTGTTTTTTGCCATTGTAATTCAGAAATCTTTTTAAGAAAATCCCTCCAGCCCCATCTTAGATATCAGGGAGATACCGTCCCTGGAAAACAGTCTCTTGGCTTCTGTGCCACTTGGGGCTGGATTATTTTGTTTGAGTGAGATGTCAAGTTTACTGACTTGAAGAGTTTTTTATTAGGTTAGGTTAGGTAGGTTAGGTAGAAGTGACGCTAGCATATAAATATGCTTTGAGGTTTGTGTGGATTGGCTATTACTGATGGCTCAAGTTAACAGTGTTTTAGGTTAGAAACTTACCTAGTATGTGGAACATCAGTTTGATTGAATATAAAATTTTATAAGAAGGCTCCTTTGGTCTGGTGAGCCACTGGTCTGAAGACTTCTCCAAACTGTTCTGCAAATCAGAACAGTTTAAATCCAGATGTTTCCTAGACCAACAAATTGCTGCAATTTTCTATCATGTTTTCTTGGTCACTGCTTCATCCTGCTGAGGAGCCTGATGGCAGTGGGGTAGTGCTTGGAAGTATAATTTTGTTGAAGGGTGTAATGCAAACACTTATTACCATTTGTAATGCTCTTCTTACTTGCTGATTATCTGTCTCCTCAGTAGTCTCTAAGCAGTGCCATGTGTGTCTGTTTTATTCTCTACTGTGTGTCCAGGGCCTGGCACACTATCTGGTGCTCCATTCATTCATGTATATTTGATGAATGAATGAATGAATGAATGAACTTGAAAGAGTCTCAGTTCCAAGTACCCACAGGTTACAGGAAAGTTATAGACACGTTTTTGCCTTTATTGGTTAACCTGCAACTTTAGTTAATTTGGTTCCAAAACCTCTTCCAGGTGTAGAAAATCACTCCATGTAATGCATACTGTTGGGTGGAATTTGAACAAAATGGTATTTCTGAAGAAGAGCAATTGCATGTGAAATACATTGTCTTGTGACTAGCAAAAATAATTTATTAGCCTCTAGCTTATTTAAATTTGATTCCTAGAAAGCAGTTATAGTAAAACACAAAAGCCTGTGAGAAAGGATGGGATATTTTTCCCTTAGGCCCTACTCACCCACCTTTTCTGGGACTTGGGACACAATCGTCTCCCCTTGGAGCCTTATCCAGACTAGGAAATGGAAACTGTTTTTATTCAGTGGGATGGAGATTTGGAGACTTTCTGGGTTCTAGGGTTATGCCGAGAGGGATTTCATTTTGCTAGAGACTTCCTTAATGCTGGAGACATTTTGAGGCCAGATCTGGAAGTTCTTTTCTCCTGATTCTCTGAAGAGGAAGGATTCACCCTGTCACTGCCATTCTGGCCTCTACCCTTTATACAGAAGAACAGTCTAATGGAACCAAATGATGGAGATGCTTGGCCAGCCACAGAGAAGGATGAGAGGAAGCCTCAGGCTCAGGAAGAGGAGGTAAGACACTTACTGTAAGGAACCATAGAGAGAGGGAGACAGGAAGGACTTCCCTGGCCTCTCAAGGTGGTTTTGTGAGGAGTTGAACTGGTGATTTAGGAAACAATAAAAGCACTGTTTTGTACCATGCTCCTGACTCTGCGCTTTATCTTTTAATAGTAAGGCTTCTCTGCTAATGGACTATGAATATATCTCTGTTTTCTCTGAAGATGGAGACTAGGTCATCTTCTGTGAGCGAGACAGATAAAGGCTGTGTGGAAATTTTGAGGAGAATGGGGAAAGTAAGAAACAGTTGTCATGAAAGTGGACCAGAAAGCTGCCAGGAGAAAATTTAGAAGGCTTTCCAGGCAGCCAAGGGCCTAAGGGTCACTTTGTTGGGAGAATATAAACATCTTCTGACACAAACCTGATTGGTGAGCTGCATAGCATTTAAGACGCTTTCTTTGACCATAAATTTTAGGTTTGATTCATGACTTAAATATTTCTCCCTGGTACTCTGTTGTCAACTTGGCCATGCATTATATTCTTATCATTTTGGGTCAAAATACTAGTTTCCTGCATCTCTCTTCTCAAGGACAGGTCATGCCTTCTTTCCTCTTTACCTGTAGGACCTAGTCCTGTGGCACTGTCTTAATAGGGTCTGGGTAATGTTTGAATTAACTAGATAAGAAGAGAAGGGTGAGAAGTGATTCAGGATGGTATGTTGTCATGAAGGCTGAGGAAGTGATAGTTGACAGTAAGAAATGCTATAAAAATGAAATGAAGAAGTATTGCATATGAAGGAAGTCAGCTGATGACCTTGGAGAGGAGAGTGCCAGGCAAATTTGGATCCTGAAGACAGATCACAGAGGCGTGTGAAAAGAACACATGACTGAATATTATTGTTTTCTCAAAATTTGGTATAATTTTCAATTCATATTGATTCTCTTTTAAATCAGGGAATAATTATTGTACACCTAAGCTTAACAGAAATTAATATTCATGTTTACCATTTAAACAAAGTTATCAGATACTACATTTAGATGACCTGAAACTGTATAGCACTGCAGAGATGTTAGATCTTTCTTTATGTAAAATGTGCAGGGGAAAAATTATGTTATACCTTTATAAAGAAGCATATTAAATCCAGACATTTGTGTGTTTTAAATTATTATCTGGAATAGAGTAAACAAAAGCCAAGTTCTGCTAGGTTGTGTCTATGAATATCAGTTTTTCCATTTTCTAGAGTGGAATGATTCAAAATAGTTGTGTTTTTTATAGTCTGTCACTTTTTAACAGTATCTTGACATTTTTGTGGTCTTTTAAGGTCTCATACAAATGTTTTCGAAAAAGAGTATCTACTTACTATTTCTTTTCACTTAACTTTCTCCTGCTCCTGTCTTTGGGTATAAGAGTGATTGCGTTTCTTCCTGATAAAATGAAGTGAGTGTATCTCTTAGGCTGTTTTCTTTTTTTTTTTTGGGAGGAAGGCAGGAAGGGAGGGAAGGAGGAAGGGAGGAAGGCAGGAAGGGAGGGAAGGAGGAAGGGAGGAAGGCAGGAAGGGAGGGAAGGAGGAAGGGAGGAAGGCAGGAAGGGAGGGAAGGAGGAAGGGAGGAAGGCAGGAAGGGAGGGAAGGAGGAAGGGAGGAAGGAAGGAAGGAAGGGATGAAGGAAGGAAGGAAGGGAGGAAGGGGGGAAGGGAGGGAGGGAGGAAGGGAAGGGAAGGAAGGAAATCAAGCAATGAGAGAGACATTGCCAACCTGGATCTAGAGGTTTACAAGTTGATTTCTTTCTTTCTTTCTTTTTTTTTTTTTTTGAGAGAAGGAAAGAAAAAAAATGAGTAAAGGAGAGGAAGAAAGAGGAAGAGAAAGAGGGAGGGTGAATGGAAATATTGCTTTATTCTGAAAAAAAAAATGGGTATTAATAATGGCCACTCAATGTTTCATTTAAACCTATGAGTAGGTGTGATGTGGTATTGACAAGAATGTATATTTTGTGTATTTGAAGTGGAGAGCTCTATAAATATTTATTAAGTTTACTTGTTCCAGATCTGAGTTCGAGTCCTTGATATCCTTATTAATTTTCTGTCTCATTGAATCTAAGTCTCTATGTATCTGGGTGTTAGGATCGTTAGCTCTTATTGTTGCATTGATCCTTTTACCACTATATCTTTGTTGCTTTAAAATTTATTTTATCCGATACGAGAATTGCAACTCCTGCTTTTTATTTATTTATTTATTTATTTTTGCTCTCCATTTGGTTGGTAAATCTTTCTCCATCCCTTTGTTTTGAGTCTTTGTGTATCCTTGCATGTGAAACAGGTCTGAATGTAACATGCCGTTGGGTTTTGGCTGTGTCTTTTGATTGGGGGATTTAGTCGATTTAAATTTAGGGTTACTGCCATTTGATGTTAACTGGCTGTTTTATCCATTCGTTGATGTAAATTCTTCTTTATGTTGGTGCTCTTTACTTTTTGGTATATTTTTAGAAAGGCTAATACTGGTTGTTTCTTTCTGTGTGTAATGCTTCTTTCAGAAGCTCTTGTAAAGCAGGCCTGGTGGTAATAAAATCTCTGAGTACTTGCTTGTTCATAAAAGATTTTATTTTTCCTTCAGTTGTGAAGCTTAGTTTGGCTGGATATGAAATTCTGGGCTGAAGGTTCTGTTCTTTGAGGTTGTTGAATATTGGCCCCCACTCTCTTCTGGCTTGTAGAGTTTCTCCTGAGAGATCTGCTGTAAGTCTGATAGGCTTGCCTTTGTGGATAACCTGACCTTTCTCTCTTTCTGCCCTTAGTATTTTCTCCTTCATTTCAACCCTGGTAAATCTAACGATTATGTGCCTTGGGATTGCTCTTCTTGAGGAGTATCTTGGTGGTGTTCTCTGTATTACCTGGGGTTGAATATTGACCTGCTTTGCTAGTTTAGGAAAATTTTTCCTGAATAATATCCTGAAGGGTATTTTCCAGCTTGGATTCATTCTCTCCGTTGCATTCAGGTACACCTATCAAACGTAAATTTGGTCTTTTCACATAGTCCCACATTTCTTGGAGACTTTGCTCATTCCTTTTTATCCTTTTTTCTCTAATCTTTTCTTCACATTTTATTTCATTAAGTTGGACTTTGACCTCTGATATCCCTTCTTCTGCTTGAACAATTCGAGTGTTTAAACCTGTGCATACTTCTCAGAGTTCCTGTATTGTATTCTTTAGTTCCATTAATTCACTCATACTCCGCTCTAAGTTGTCTATTCTCAATAGGATTTCATCAAACCTTTTTTCAAAGTTCCTAGTTTCTTTACGTTGGGCTACAACATGGTCTTTTAACTCACCGAAGTTTCTTATTATCCATTCCTTGAAGCGTGATTCTGTCATTGGGATGCGCTCGTTCTCCATCAAGCCTTGTTCCATTGTTGATGTGGAACTGTGATCATCTTTAGAGGGAGAGGCGTTCTGATTTTGAGTATTCTCAGCCTTTTTATGCTGGTTTCTTCCCATCATTGTAAATTTATCCTTCTCTCATCTTTGAAATTACCAACTTTCAGATTAGGTCTCTTGAGTGGACGTCCAAGTTGTTAGTTCCCAGGGCCAGAACAGCGGCGTTAAGACTGATGGTGCTTTTCTGCCCAGGATTCTCCTGTCTGGCTTCCTTCTTGTGTCCAAAATAGGCAACTCTGCCTTCCCGGGGCTCCAAACCTCGGTCAGAAGGGGAGCCAGCCCTGTTTGCTCTGAGAGCTGCTGCGCCGAGGTGCTGGCGAAACCGCTGCGCCAGCCACAGGAGTCGCGCTGGTGACCCGTGTGACTCCTCCACTGGTGATCTTCTGCTCCGTGAGTGACCAGAATTTGTCTGAAAGTGTGGCATCCTTTAGTTCTCTGTGCTTTCACTGCGAGCTGCAATCCCGAGATGTTAGTGATAGGCCATCTTGGATCGTTCCCCTCTTAGGCTGTTTTCATTGTGAAACTTTTATTTTTTTGGTCCCTGAAGTATTGCATACTAAGGCATCTTCTAAACTTAAGTAGCCTGTGGAGCTATTTATCTGGTCTGTTGTGATGGAGATGAGAGGAACATTTGGATTTCATATAACTTATTAGTTGCCATTGGAGGCAATGGAATTTTTACTGGACAAAAGAACAAACACTTCGATTTCATCCTAAGTGGAAGTTTGAATGCTTGGCATTGTCTTGTGTACATGCTAGCAATGAGGCATGAAATATTTAAAATCTTTATTGATCTTATTAGAAATTCTTTTTTAGTCATTACTCTTCTTGGTTGTAACTAAGATTCTTCCACTGTATTTGGTCTTAAGTTACAACAAACTGCTAAGGCAGAAGATAAGAATTGGATGTTCTCATTGATCATGTATACATTTTCCTGAAAGAGATTATTTAAATAGATGCCTAATCAATTATAGTACATTCTTACAATAGAATTCTATTTTGCCATTTAAAATGACACTATAAGGAAAAATGGATTTCCACAAGGTGGTCTCTGCAATATATTTTTCAGGCAGTAAAGGTAGTAATAAAACAGCATGTATAACATTTTGTCATTTTTGTTATTCATTTACCTGTATATTTGTGTATTTATGAAGAGAAAAGTCTGGAAGGATATATGGCAAAATGTCTCTGAGTATTAGAAATAAGGGTGACTTTCACTTTATTCCTAGTAACATTTATAGAGACTAAAGTAATAGTAATTTTAAAAGGAAAAGCTGTTTTCTTAAAGCATTTTCAGTGAAAATGAAAGCTTCATGTTTCTTAATTTTTTTTTTTTTTTGAGACACAGTCTCACTCTGTTGCCCCAGCTGGAGTACAGTGGCCTGATCTCGGCTCACTGCAACCTCTGCCTCCCGGGTTCAAGCAATTCTTCTGCCTCAGCCTTCTGAGTAGGTGGGACTACAGGTGCTCGCCACCACGCCTGGCTAATTTCTTTTTGTATTTTTAGTAGAGACGGAGTTTCACCACGTTGGCCAGGCTGGTCTTAAACTCCAGACCTTGTGATCCACCTGCCTCAACCTCCCAAAGTT